ATCTACCCCATATACAAGCCCCAAATATTCAGGATTTGTATCCTACAATGAGTAATGTGTGCTGATAAAAGCATCTACTTAATAAACAGCCAACCTATTGAAGAGGCATTGATTAAAGTAATCATATCTGGATTCATTTTCCTTAGTCCCTAGGCAGAATCACAGCTATAACTTCAGTCTCAGCTTCCTCAGGCCCCTTCAATTATTCTGATGACTGCAAAATTTTGGTATTTCTAACATAGTTAAAATATTGTCCCACCCCCTTTTCTGTGCAGTTCCTTTTCCCTTCTATGATAAAGTAAAGGGGCACCAAGTTCCAAGTTTTCTATACCCCCAAAGTCAAAACATCACATGAAACTATGAATAAACATCAACTTCCTATCTCTAACAATAAAAGTCAAGGAGCCATGTTTTTTTTTTTTTTTTTTATTTATCATTTTGTTTCTATGGCTCATTTTCTAAAGGACAATACTTCCTAAAAACATTTTTCTTAAATCCACTTAAATAACAGCATAATGTGATTCACTGTGATTGAGTACCTGGGTTCAAATCACAGGCTTATCCCTACCATTTGGGTGGCCTTGCATATTTAACTTAAGCTCTGTAAAACTCAGTTTTCCCATGTGTAAAATGTGTATAAAAATCACTCCTTCAAAGGGTGGTCCCAAGAATTAAATAAAACAGTTCGCAGTCAAATGCTTAAAACTAAAGTCTGTTCTCTATTCATTCACTCATTCGACAAATATTCACTGCCTGATTATTAATTAAGGGTGCCTTGCCTAACTTTTCTCTGTAAGGCTTTTTAGATAAATAATTTTTTTTTGAAGTAATTCATTCAAAAGTGTGCCACTTAATATGTAAAAAAAAAAAAAAAATCTACTTGAAGCCACCAAGTTTTTTTCTAAATTTAAGTTATAGAACCACAGTTAATAAAGATCATATCAAATTTATAAGGCAGTTTTCCAAAAATATTTTTTTACTAATAACATATTCACCATTTACTTGATAACTTTGGATCTACTTTGTGGTTCTTTGGTCTAACTTGCTCACATGTTGAAAAGCCTATTAGGTAAAACTCAAGAATCAACAAAAAGGAAAAGATAAGCGACTGACAAGAGTACCTTCTATCCTGACACACCTCTGTCAAAACCACCTTCCTGTCCTGGAGGTGGAGATCGATAGATGGTAGAGCTGATAGACTGTGGGAAATATAAAAGTGTTTTGTTCTTGGAGTGGGGAGGAGAGGCAGTTCAGGGTTAAAAATTAAATTGCAAAATCTCTGTCACATCTGGGATACAGTGATTTGACCGTGTCTTCTGCACTAGTCGCTCACCCAGTCTTTTCATCCTGGGACTTCTTTTGTAAATCACAACTGGTTTGGCTTTGCCCATGATAAGTCCACATAAAAATAAATGATCTATTTCTAAAAAACAAAAAGGAAATTGCAGCCTGTCATCTGAATTTCAGTTCCACCGTATGTCTGGATGAGGAAAGGACTAAATATATGACTCATAGCTTCTCCATCACAAAATACTAAAAAGTCCTCCACTCCTATAGAAAACTACAATAAATGTAAAAATGACATAAGGTGTGATCTGTTCTAATATCCAGTGTGATACATACAGAATGTAATATAATATGACAACATCAATAACTCTGTTCTCAAACTAATGGTTTAAGTAATTTTAATCTACAACAAGGATTTGTTTTTTTTTGTTTGAAAAACAAAAAACAAAAAACAATTAGCTGTTGCCAGGGGTGGGGGGTAAAGGGGAATAGGGCATTATTGTTTTACAGGAGCAGGATTTCAGTTTGGGGTGGTGAGAATGTTCTGGAGATGGATGGTGGTGATGGCTGTACAATACCATGGCTGTACTTAATGCCACTGAACTGTAAACTTAAAAATGACTGAAATGATAGATTTTATGTATATTTTACCACAATGAAATTTTTTAGAAATATCATTAGCCTTAAAAATGAAACTACATAAAAGAAGAATATGTTATATGTTACAAATTCTTGTTCATCTAGGCTAATAATAAAAATTCCCCAAAGTAACTAAGTAAAAATGAACACCCAATTAGATTAAGTGAATCATTAACATAACAAAACCATTTTGTCAGTATTGACATGTGAGGGGAGAATACTTATTAAGATATATACATACCTACATATATAAAATACACATATATAGGAATATATAAACATGAATATATATACACATATATACACTCATGTAATGTACACACACGCTTATGGCCAAGAGAACAATCATATTTGTATAACCCTATCTCTATTAGTTAAATAGTAAAAGAAACCATGGTAGGGGCCAATACATAATGAAGAATTGAAACCCTTGTTACTATACAATGAATCAGACTTGCACACACCCTCTGGATATAGAAACAGCTGTGAGAAGAGGGCCTATATTTCTGAATTTCCCACACACACCCTCCCTTGCCCCAGCAAATAGGATGAATTTCTGTGTGCTTACCACCAGTCCCAGCACCAGGGTGCGAACTCTTTCTCCTATCTCTGGTGAAATGTCATTGCCAAACTGCTGCAGGGTGGTGAGGAACCGTTTCAGCTTGCTGAGTTGCCTCGCGCCACAGGCTGGGGGCAGCTGTTGATTAGCCAGAGAAGAAGAGGACGAGGAGGAAGGCCCATTGCTAAAGCCATTGGGTGGTGAGGGCGCACCATTCAAGGCTGTAGGTGAATGGCTGGTGCCATTAGTTACTGGCAAGGGCAAAAAGTCAGAAGGAAAAAATAAACTCACAGAGAACATGCACAAGGAAATTGCCACCAAGTTTCCTTCCCTTTTTTAATTTAATTTTATTTATTTTATTTTATTTTGTCAATATACAACGTGATTATTGGGGTGCATTACCAAAACCTCCTTCCCTCCCTCCCAACAACCTCATATCTGTTCACTTGTCATATCAACTTCAAGGAATTGTAATTGTTGTCTTCTTGCCTCCCTTCCTTCCCTTTAAATCCAGTGGTTTGTAATTTTAAAAAACGTTGCGACTTTCTGCAAGACACTTTGACTTCACAGGAGTACTCAGGTATTTTAAAACTAAATGGGTCTACTCTTTATACCGAGTGATGGGATTCTGCACAGAAGCTGAAAATAAATGGAGTCTGCTGTGACAGAGGGCCAACTCTGCCTCCCATGTGCACATATGTCAACCACCTGAAATGTTTCGAACACAGAGCAAACAGCTTTGGATGTCAGCCTTTTGTCACAGGCTTACATCAATATAACAGGATGACTCCTTTCTAAACTGCTCCCCTAGAGAAAGTGTACATTTGGTGGAAACTAAATTAATCATGTTTTGTACACACAACTGACAGCTGTGTTTATAGAAATAAGACTTTCAAGTTTTAACCTTATACCACCCAATTAGAAGGCGATTTTTCCCCCCTCATATTTCTTAACCACTTCTTTAGGGAAAATGCAAATTTTATGTAGGAAGCCAAAATAGATATGGTATTTATCAAGGACTTATTTCAAGAAATGTAAAGGGGACATCTCAATCCAACCAAGAGCATGGATTGGTGGTAATTCAGTACTTTAACTTCTGACAAAATTTGACTATCAAGAGGATAATCCATAAGAACTAGACTTGAAAAATTTACACACTTAATTGACTTAATTTGACAAATCTTTATCAAAACCATTCTCTTATTATAATTTTTGATAAACTATCTCCAATAATAATCTGAGAATATTTTAAGAACCCTGTTATTTATTCTTAAAAGTTTCATTTCAAGATAATAAAATGGTTCTCTTGTTCCAAATGAGTAACCCGTCAAGAAATGATAGCTCACCAGGACATCTCACAGGAGACATATGCCTATCATTGTGGCTTTGGGTAACAACAAACCAAATATAAGATGACAGGGTTACAACCTGGAAAGTCACAGCCTCCTACTCCTTACATGTCTGGTAAGGTCTTTTAAATGGCAGCACAAAATTATATAAACAGCCCTGGGATATGTATTTTGTTGATCTCTTATAGTCCCACGGATCTATTTTTGTCTGTTATTTTTCATTCATGTGGATTTCATGGCACATGGTTTGTAAATAGTATTATCCGCAACAGATAACATTTATTAGTTTCACAAATCCTTGATGACAATTTTAACCAGGACTTTGAGATCGATTAGAACAAAGCTATCCACTATTCCTACTGGAATATATAGAAAAAGAAAGAGAAGTTGCTATTCTGTTAGAATGTTCTATCTTTTCCTTGGACAATACAGAAAGCAATACACTTCACTGCCTCAGAACACAGGACTTGAGCCAAGTGGGAATGGAGTAAAAGTTTAATGAAAGTCTGACAGGTTCAAGACAAAGAAGATGCATGCTACTTATTTCAGAAAGTGTTTCACATGAGACTATTGCATAGAGCAATACCTTTGTAACTTAAAGATGTTAGATTTTAACATTATTTGTAACAGTTTGAAACAGAAGAAACCTATAAATACTCATAGCATATTTTCATGTTCTAAGACAAACTGAACAAACTAATAATATAAAGAACTCCACATTAGGATGAATTAAAAGTTACAGTGGTAACAACCTAAGTTATAGACCAAGGGCAGTATTCTTCATTTACCAAAATCATAACAGACTACAACTTTGAAGCAATAATGAACAGAAAAGCAAATAATATAATTATACCTAAAATATGATACTGCTGTGCTCGATATCTACTCACTGGCAAACAAATTTTTTTTTGCTTCATTTCATCATAATACATGGCTGCTGAATCTTACTTTCCCTTGATTTTTTATTTGCAGAATATTTTAATTTAAACTTCAAAACTGAAACACAAAATCCAGAAGTGACTACTTACACGTGGTCGGCGTAAATGAACTGGTTCTTGGAGCTCCTTGAGTAGTTGGGGGAGGTGGCATCGTTGGAGGAGTCAGCCTAGATTGCGTCTTCACATCCACAGGTGAGTCTGGCATCGTGGAGTGCTTCTCAGTACGATCTGGAGGGTGCCACCAGGAACATGTTATTTTACTCCTTAAGCACTGCAGTTTTTCAAGTGGGGTTTGTCTTTTTTAAAAGCAAGTGAACAGAAGAAATTCAACATCTTCTATCAATAAAATATGCTTATCTGCTGAAGTTTAAATCAGGATTTTATCATCCAAACGCCACTTAAGGAGGTGTAGCACAGATGGCAGGACCTCATTTGGAACTAGGTTATACTGTATCCTATTGTTATTTCTGGCTTGGGCAGATGCTACCTTGGTAGTGTTATATGTAACAGCACAACCTCACTCAAAGCTGAAGCCAACTTTAGCAAGAGGTAGAAAATAGATGAGGAAGTAGGATGATAATGAACCCCTCATGACAGCTCAGAAATAAAAACCTGAAGTCTGTTATGCAGGTGAGATACTGGTAGGAGCTGGCTCTTTGTGATGATTGTCTGTAACACCTGCCATTCCCTTTCCATGCTCAGTTTTCTGGCCTATTAGATGAAGCAGGGTATGTCTCTCACTTCAGTTTTTTCTGCCCTGTTCTAAAAATCACCTCTGTATAAATGTCGTATGTTATACAGTGAAGTTAAGCTATTATTTACTTAGAATATGTGAACTTTTGACCTGCCATTTTAAAAACGAGACCAATACTCCAATTAATAATCTCAGACACAGTAAAATGTAAAAGTCCCACACTGAGAACTAAAAAGAGCTAAACACACTCCTAATATTGTTTTCATAAATGTGACAGATATAGAGAAACTTCCTAATTACCCAGTAATGGACATCTGTACTTCAGAACTGTTTTCATCTAAGTATACCTTTCCCTTGAAATTCTGAACTGGTTTTCTCAATCTAATCTACTTATCAAAGCAATGGATCTCCAATAAAAATGAAAGATTTTTTTTGTTTCTTTAGATCCAATTTTCTACAAACACATGTACACACACACACATACCCCCAAAATGTTTTGAGGTGCCTCTTGCCTTTGACAAAATATTTCACACTTGAACTTTTAGAAAAGTAAAGTAGCAAACTATTAAGAAAGAATGAGCCTTTTAAAATATAATAACCATAGTGAGAAATTCTCAAAATTACTTAAAAGTCAATTATTAAAAGAAAGTGAAAAGCCCAAATTACTACTATCACAATTCCAAATCTACTTCACCTTTGTTCAAAGCAATTTCCTAAGACTTGGTTTGCAATAAAACACAACATTTAAAAGTTGAAATAATGTTGAAACCATATTAGGGAAGATGTAAAAAAAGAATGAAAATAATCATCATTCTAATAAAAGCATTTTGCCCAATGATCTAGTTCACAGCAGTATTAGGGTTTCTATTTCTTAATCTCTACTGCTGGCTGAATAACAAGGATTGACCCTACAGGGAACAAAAGTGTTCTGAGTGAAATGATGGTAGAGACACACGTGGAGAGCTTGTCTACTTTTATCTTAACAATCAGTATCAGTAAGTCACTTATTCTAGAAAAATACAGAAGTCAGGCAAGCTGAAAACTGCTTCTTCAGTAGTTAAATTCACTGCACACGCTACTCACCTCAACCAACCTCAGCAACAAGGGAATAAATAGCTTTCCGCTTATGTTGCAGCTGAGGGAAGAGGTACAGCAGCAAATACAAGGCTCCCTAAATAAAGGCAAATATTTCTGTCATGCCAAGGAAGGAGGGAGAGAGGGAGGCTTGCCAGAGCCGGCTGGGAGATAACAGTGGGAACTGCTGGTCCATCTGGCTTTCATTCTGCTAACACTCACACGGAACTGTTGGAGAAGGCAGTCCAGATACACAGATTTGAAGCACGTGGCTGCACAGGCAGAGAAAGGAAGAGCAGGAGGGGGAGGGGGAGAGGGAAGGGGAAGTGGGATAACGAAAAAAATAAAGCAATGGAAAGAAAAAGAAGAAAAGAGGGAAAAGAACAAAACAGGGAGAAAAGAGACTGCAAGGGAGAAAGTTCCCCTCAACAGCCTTGCTGACCCCAGCAGCTACAAGCTGAACCACATGGGCAAAGCCTCCTATCTTACTCGCCTTTGAATAGTTATGGAGCAATATCCAAACTTTAAAGCATATCAAACTCATTTTTCTTTCTTTTTTAAATAGCCCACACTAAGAAAAAAGAAAAAAAGAAAACTGTAAAGTCGACAACGGGTTTCCTCTTCAAACTTAAGATTTAAGTTTCTACCTAAGACAATCTTTTGTATATCTATCTTCTTCTGTCCCAATAATAGAAAGACGTTTGGTATATTCATACTTTTGATTTGCAAACATTTTATATACCTGTCTTGGTCCACATTTGTAACATGATTCCTATCCAGAGCATCATCATCATGAGTAGATGCTTTTTTAAATTCTTGAAATGTCACCAATATTTCAAGAATAATAACTACCGAACCACTGCATGAAAACACCATAGCAATGTATACATTCTAACTGAAATATATGTGCACATATTTAGGACTCTGACATTAGCTGAATTTTGGTGACAGCTAGCTTTCACTCTGATCATTTGGAGTTCCAACCCAGAGGTCCTACAAACTAAGACAAAGCGGGACCATATGTAACTCATTCTGTGCCGTTTGGTGCAATCAATCCAGGATGGAGCTAGATGGAGAAAATAACGGCCAGGCCTAACCCATACACACAGTAAAACCCACTAGAGCAGACAGATTTAAGATAAATTTAGAAAATGTGTTTCAAGTATGCTGAGCTGTTGCATTTGTTTTGGATTATTTTTTAAAATTTTTTTTGAAATATATATTCTTGAAATTTTGTAGCAAACAGCACAAGAGCTATGATTTAACCACAGAAGCATTTCTTTTTTTTTTTTTTCCTTTTTGTCTTTTTCCATGTCCGGCAATGGACCGCAACCCTCAGTGTCGCCCCCGTACCGGACCGGGACCAGCAACGGGCCTTTTTGTCTTTTTCCGTGTCCGGCAACGGACCGCAATCCTCAGTGTCGCCCCCGTACCGGACCGGGACCAGCAACGGGATCGCAACCCTCAGTGTTGCTCCCGCGCCTCGCTCAGCCAGTGAGCGGGAACTGGTCTGTATGTGGGATCCGAACCCTCGGTGGGAGCGCTGCCGCGCTTCCCAAGCGGCGCACTATAGCAGTGCGCCACCGGGCCGGCCCCCACAGAAGCATTTCACTCCATTTCAAATTAGAGAACACGGTAAAACCAATATTAAGTTATAATATTACTTATGTCATTTTTTTTAAGTTCATGATAATTATACTGTCCTGATAGGTAATCTCTATTTTTTCATTGCTGTAGAGGAATTCTGATGTTTATTGAAAGACTGACACAAAATGATAAAAAATGAAAAAAGAAAAAGAAAAAAACATCTCTTTCAGATCAGGTAGAGAAGGTAAGTATAATCAAAAAGGGCTGACTTTACTTTTAACTTTAACAATTCACACCACTTCTAAACAAGACGATCTTCCCTATGCGGTAACATTTTACTCACATGGCAAATATCCAACTCATGTACCAAAGATGGCTGATGCACGGAAGAAAATGTGGCATGTATAAATACATTACTGATACCATTTCAATACCCACTTCAATGTCAGGGCCTTCTAGAAGTAGTATGTTTTCTATTTCCTTTTCCTTTTTTTTTAAAGTAAAAAAGGTATATAATCTGCCATGGCACATATTTTAGTTAGTGCAAACAGTTCCAGATGTGTTTAAGTTACGGAAAATAAGTATTCTATATTTTTCTTGTCTACATACCATTCTAAAGACGATTAGTATAAAAAGACAAGTTCAGTATTGGTAGGTGGTACACCTTTCTATCAGAGTTCATCATGTCAATTATAATAGAAGTCTCAGAGGAGTTATGGATTATGAGGAACTTCTTGGACAATTAGTAATTAGTCCAGAGTTATACATACTTGTTATTCAACACTTGTTGGTTAAGGAAGCTAGAAGGTATGCACTAAAGAGGATAAAGCCAAAGTAGAATGGAGGTACTACTAATAAGGAAAAGAAAAGAAGAAGGGAGCCAGGAGGAATGAAACTGCAGATAGAATTTTAATTTTTATTTCACTAGAAAAGTTGGCACATATAGCCCTGATAACAAAGTCACTTAGTGACTAGAACAACAGTGATAGCTGCTTCTCCCATCAGCCTCCATATCGCCTGCTGAGCACTTCTGGGGATGCCCATTCCTGCTCAGAACCCTTCCACAATGCATGAGAACGAGAGAACCAAATGCTAACAATCCAACCACGATGGAATGATACAGAGGAATGATGCTTGGCATAATAGGAAAACTTCTAAGTTAAGACAGACTTGGTTTCAAATACTGACTCCCTTGACCATTACTAGTGAGCCCTCAAGAAGTTAGTTATCCTGAGCCGCAGCCTTATATTGGGAGCCTACTTATATTAGGTACCAGCAGGCATGAGCTTCATTTTCCTGTGCCTTTCTCTCCATGACCCATCGTGGGCTTCACCCCCCCCCCCGTCCCCCCCTGCCCAAGTCTACACTCTATTGGTACAGAGAACCTTGGTCCCTGGCTTTTCTGCATTTCTTTTTCATGCTGTTCCCCTCATCTAGAATGACCTGTCCCATCTTGCACATTCTTTCCTGCCCATTACAGACCACACATTCTCTTACAGCTTCCCTCAACTGCCCCAGGCACCAACACATCACATTAGCCTCTCTGTTAGCATTTATCACAGCCTGCATGATGGCTGTGTGCAGGCACACCTTGTTTCACTGCTCTTGCTTTATTGCACTTTGCAGATATTGCATTTTTTACAAATTGAAGCTCTGGGGCAACCCTGCATCAAGCAAGTCTATCAGAGTCATTTTTCCAACAGCGTGTGTTCACTTTGTGTCTCTTTCACATTTTGGTAATTCTTGCAATATTGCAAACTTTTTCATTATTATGATATCTGTTATGATGATTTGTGATCAGTGATCTTTGATGGTTCCATTACAACTGTGTTGGGGTGCCACGAACCGTGCCCATATAAGATGGCAAACTTAA